ATTATCCTAAGACCATAAGAACAACTGTGTTGGATCAGGCCAAGGCCCACCTTGGTCCATGATGTCATCCAGATACCTCTGATTATCAGCAGTAGAAATTGAAGATATATCCATTCTCACCATTGTTCCCTGCAACAAGTATCTATTGACGTGCTTTCCCCAATGAGATCCTAGTCAAAGAAGCTGTTGAACCCAAAATGCACAACTAGTTTTCTGACACAAAAATCTATCCTAAAAATGCCCTTTTTTGTCCAGCTACTAGATGTAGTGGAATGGACTAATGAAATTCTCTGAGTCTAGGAAAGAAACGGGATGTTTCCTAAACATGATATATAAGGACCACAAGAATCTTTCAATCTTACCCCCTTAGCAAGGTCATCTCTTCAGAAGACTTTGAGAAAAAAGCATCTAGAGAACCCTGCCTTAATATAATCATTAATGTGAGGTCTACTATATACAGATAATCCCCCAGGTACGAACGTTTATTTAACAAATTTTCACAAAAACGAATTCATTCAGAAAGGGTACTTATGTTAGAAATTCAAAATTGTGACTAAAAAGAGGCCTATGTAGCCATGTGACTTGAATTCAGTGTCTGCTGCAGCGGTGGCCATGTTTAGCTCTGTGAGTTGCCTGGGCCGTTAGGGTTATGAAGCAGGCAGGGCTTTTTTTTTGTCCCTGGTCACATGGCCAAACAAAAGCCGAGGCGGTGCCAAGTTTTTTTGTTAGTGCTGGTGGAGAATCTGCTGCTGCCTGGGCTTCAGGACTAGAATTGCTTCTGTAAGTATTTTAATTTTTTGTTGCTGTGCTTGCAAACTGCTTTTCTTTTTAAGTACTGTACTTTGCAAACTATTGTGTTTCTATGTACAGTATTTGTAGAAATGCTAGCCAGCCTCCTCACAAAGCATTCTGTAATGCTGTGTTTACTTGCTTTTATTTTTGAGATTAGCATATATTCCTGTAGTTTGTTTTAAATTTAAATTGTCTCTGGAAGTTGTGGGTGCCCTATTACTGAAAGCTTTTAAGAAGAGACTGGATAGGCATTTATCAGAAATATCTCTTGTGAGAGCGGTGGGTTAGACTAGATGATCTCACGGTCCCTTCCATCTCAGTTACTGTTGCAAGCCAACAGTTCTGTAAACCTCACCCCCATCTGCCTCTGAATGCTTAGCTGGAGATGCTTAAGCTAGTGGTAACAGGTTGTTTTTTTTAAATAGTCGTAGAGTTCTGTAAATCCAAACTCCTCTGAAGAAGCTTGAGCTGCCTAACAACAAATGATTTTGTTTTTTTTAAAAAAAAACGCATTGCAAAGAGAGAGCCTGCTGCCTGCTTGGAAGGCAATTTAGTTCCTGAAACCAGAAACGGCTGATAGGCGGCCAGCAGCAGGAACGGGAAAAGTCTCTCAGTTCAGGCAGCCATCAGAGGAAATAATAAGTCAGATCTTTGCTCCTTTAATGACCCATTTGATTCCGTTAATGAATTTTTAAAATTTTGTAAAATTGAGTCTGATTTATTTGACAAATATTTTGACTTACGAGCTTAATGGGCAGGCTCCATTAGATTTGTACCTCGGGGACTACCTGTACTTATCTAACCCCCTTTTCCTTGTGTTAAGCCTGATTAATAAGACTGTCAATCCCCTTAGTCATTGCTACTGTCAGGAGTTTCACATTGTAATTGGTACAGTTATTAAAAAATAGTTTCCATATGGTTTGGATCCTTTGGTTTGGAAACTATTTTTTTTTTAAAGTCCACCAACGAAACAATTGCCATCTGCACATACCTGTCTACAAGTAGTTTTGTAGTCTCTCATCTTCTTAATCCTTTTCTTCTTTTTGGTGACACAACAACTAAATGAACAAAAATAATTTTGTGGTTGTTAACTATTAATTCTTTTTATCATTGTTAAACTTAATTTATTTCAGATGGCACAACTAAATCAGGATGTGTAGATGAGTAAAATATTACACCAATCAACTTAACTGAAATCTCTGGCACTGTAGTTTCCCTATCTATCCCATCAAAAATTTCAGACTTTCCAACAAAGATTATTCTTTTTCTTTTCTTTTCTTTTTAAAAAAAGACTGGAAATCTTATGTGGACTTTTTGTTGAAATAAGAAAAAACTGAATTAAAGATTCAGGGATTAAGAACAGATGAAGAGAATGAGGAAAATATTAAGATGACAATTACTTGGTAGAGGGAAAGCATAGTTTTATTATTCTTTTTCTCTTTATCTTACTTTCTATCTCTTTTTGTTTGTTTTGTATTTTTACCCCGCCCTTCTCCGCAAGGTAAAAATCCAATAAATAAATAAATAAATATTGAAACATTCTAATAAAAATATACAAGAACAATTTTAGACTCTTAGTGTTATTCAGAATGAAAGTCTGAAAGATAAGCCTGGAACAAAAGCCACATTTTTATGTGTTTGCAAAGGTCCATTAACTAACTTGTAATTGAACATTTTCAACCAATTGCTACGACTGAGGCATGAAAAACTTTTTTCCTTGGCAAAAATCAGCAAGATAATTCCCCTAAATGCTTCTATGCCAACTGTAACAACTTCCAGAAAAGACAACATAGTTATCACTCCTTGTATGGCAATCAGCATGACATTAACTTGATAATCTACAGAAAAGGCTTTAGAAATCATGACAGCATTCAGATTTGGGGGACATAGCATACTGGGTGCATTCTGCTATAGTACAGAATAATATCTTACCTTCTGTATATAAGTATAACCACAATAACCAGGATTAAAAAGGCAGCACTTCCAATAAAAATCATATGCAGCTTAGTAAATAAAGGTGCTACAAAGGAAATACAATAAATATAATCAATAAGAGGAAAGGTTGATTTTCTGAACAATACATCATCGGAAGACATTTCAAATAACTTACGCTCTGTATAAGGAAGTCTCAAATATATGAGAAGAAATGAGAAAGACAAGAAGACCAGAGTATGGAATACAGAAGAATGACTTATCTTTTGAGATAATTGTAATTATCTCATTGTAATCAATTTAGAAAGTCAAATTGATCCACAATAGCTGACATTTTGAGCATAAATGGTATCACTCTTACAGCCATGTAGTGCTTATAGAAGAAACTCCATGAGTTAGTCCCTGTATATGAATTCTAAGTACAAAGAGAAATAATTTGTTGGCATCCAATGCAATGAAAAGATTCAAACTACATTACATTTTGTTGATAAGGCATCATTACATACTTCTTTAGGCAGCTCCTGGCACATGTTCCTATTAGATAATTGGGTTTGATAACCCTAGACCAGTTTTTCTCAATCTTGGCAACTTTAAGGAGCCTTGGCTGGGGAATTCTGGGATTGAAGTCTACACATCTTAAAGCTGTCAAGTTGAGAATACTGTCATAGGCAGTAGACCTGTGGAAGCCTGTGGCTCTCTAGATGTAGCTTGAGATTGCTCCTAGCAGTGCTAGTCAGTATGGCCCATTGGAAGGAATGCTTGAAAGTGCAATTCTGTACAGTCATCAGTTCCTCTTCCTCACCTTACAATATGGAGTTACCTTGAGTGAAGGTTTATCGACCACAGATAGCTTTCAAAACATGTTAAGTTTCATTTCAAGAGGCGTTAAAGGGGAGGGGGAATGTTGCCTCCAATGCTGTATCAAGGATTTTCACAAAGAAGAAACCCTTCAAGATAGTCATCTGAGAACCGGATATTAAGGATGTTCCATTTTTGTATTATTAGCAAATAGTAAAAATTTCTGCTTTCTATGTTAAAACAGGCTTTAGATACTATCTCTTAATAAGAACTCCTAGAGAATCTATGACACTTTTTTAAGGATTAGTTTCTTTAAATAAAAAACAGAAAGCCTGCAGGAAGGTAGACTTTATGTTATATTTCATATAAATTCAAATCTCAAAGGCTGAGGAAGATAACAATTGTCTTGAAGAACCTTATCAAATTCATCTTCTAAAAATCCAGGTAAAGCTGATTATTAACTTCCTATACTACTGTCTGAGACATAAAGCTGAAAGACTGTGTTTCCAGCCTATTTCTTAAAGCTATCCATGGGAATAAAGCATGTCACTAGTGTGTGACTTCAAAAGCTGAAAGAGCCAACACACTCTGTTGGAATACTTCTCAGCATACGAAAATGTGATTTAATGGAGTTGTAACTAATCAGATGGGAATTAATGCTTCTCTCCTTTTCCTCACATAAAATCCTATAGTAGGTTATATTTCCCAATCTGTTTTTGAGACTCATTTGCAGCAATGAGTCTCAAAAACAATAAAGTACCGATGATCTGTGTTTTGCAGAGCTAAATCATGTCCTTCACTTAATCTAGGTAGAAGAATCTAGCAAAATGTTTCTCAAACTTGGTAACTTTGAGATGTGTGGTTCTTATACATACCAAGGTTGAGATGTCCTGATCCACAGAATCATTTCAGAAGAATGAAGATAGTAAGATGTGAATTTTATTAGGGGTTCTGGCCCTAAGTGTTCCCTTCAAAAATGCAAGAAATCTTAGACAAATTCAACTGCTGTTAGGGCCTTCAGATTCCAGCCCCCTCTTGTCTTATTTCAGGACCTCCCTACCTAAAACTGTACAGTCCAGGGTTTTCAAATGACCTCCCAAGATAGGGAACAGTTTGAGATTGGTCCAGGTGCTGATTAATTAAAAAGCACTTTGCTAAGCTGGGTGACATCTTTTCTGTCACACCTCCAGTTTCAAAGAACTTCTTCAGAATTGGCATAGAGAAAGAAGATTGGCTGACTGGCTACCTAGCCTGAACTCACAAGGTTAGTGCTGGGTACTGCCTAACCCTATGCATGTTATCTTCTTCAGAGTCCATCATAACAGAAACCCTGCAATCATTACCTAGAGTTCGCTTAAGTTCAGCAGTCAATAGAAATTTATCAAGGTATCTTCATCAATATTCTGGAGCATCCAAGATATGGAATGAAGACATGGTGTATAAAAAATGGTTTCAATCTCCCCCGCCCCATCCAAACTCTGCAAAAGAAATGGTCAGCTTTGGCCCAAAGCCAATAAGAAAGTTGCATAATGGTAATCTGGTTTCATAATGATCATGATTTTATAGTCCTTATTTGTTTTATTTTATTCAGATTTTTTTAAAAAAAATAAGAACAAATAATGTCTGGATGCTTTTTATTTCTTTGTAGTGACTGATATGCAAACAGCAGGAGGGTCTGTTTCTTTTTCTTTTTTCTCAGGATTTCAAGTCAGGCATAAATTTCCACCAGTTTTAATGTATCAGCCCTATCTCCTAGAAACAAGATGGGGAAAGCAGAGACAAATCACCTGTTCTGACATCCCTCAGGGGAGGAAATACTTATTAAGCCTGCCTTGAAGTTTAGTCCTAGAAACATGTAGGTGAGTGATTTCACCCTTCACTGCCCCTCCACTGCAGTTCTCTAGAAGAAACACTGACAGCTTGTCAGTTCCAACACACTCAACCCAAACAAGCAGGTAGAGCCACTTGTTAGGTATTTCGCTACTAAAAGCTTTGCAATGTTTGCTAAGCACACAAAGTGTAAGAACAGGTCCGTGACAGCAAGAAGCACTGAGCCATGTGGAAGACAAAGCAAAGGTGTGGGGTGCTTAAGCACCAGGTCCACCTCTGTGTGACTTCCTCGAGTTTTTCTTGCAAAAGAGGAATGCATCCAGTGACACCACCTTCAAGTATCCCAACTCTTTTCCAGAATCTGGCCCTTCGTTATGTCATTTGCTTGGGAACAACAACACTGGAGTTCCTGAACCAGCAAAGGCTGCTTTAAAATATATATTTTTAAAGGGCTGTTAATTGACTTTGCTGCCACGCAGTTAGAGGATTAGCACTCATATTATCTGTAACCAGGATCGGCAGCACAGTAGCAACAAAAGTCCTGAAATCCAAGCAGAGAGCAAAGAAACTCCAAAAGATCACTGCTGGCAAACAATGAAACTTATTCCATTAAAGTGATAAATGAGGCATGTGAAAAGTGAAAAAAAGCAACATCTGAGAATGGCTGTGGCTGACGATAAGGAAAAAGCATCAGGGTTGCAATGGAGCAGCCTGTGAAAAGAGACATCTGCCTCGATTTTCTGTACCAGCCATTCTATTCTGATTGGGATGCACTCTGATTTTAAAAACAAACAAAATTATATATTTTGTGGCTCAATAAGCAAAAATACTTATGAGGGACTTACAACTTTATTGTCGCTGTCTGCTATTGCTACTAATATTTGAATTGTTACGTTCATATTCACTTGGTTTTCTGCGCAAAGTGTTCTGTACCTTTTCTCAGTCCTTCTATCCTGGGAGATGCCATTATTTCTCTTGATTACTTTCTTACCAACTTTGGCTAGCTAGCTACTTCCCTCTTTTGCCAAAATTGCTGGGAAACGTGGAAGCAAAGATGAGGATTAATACAAAAGGCAAGTGAAAGAAAGCAAGAAAGAGAGGAGAAGATAATGAAGAGTGGAGAAGGACCAGTCCTGTTATGACTTAAAGTCTCTGAGCAAGATACCTGGACCTCAGGTTTGAAGTTGCCCATTCAGCTGCAATGGGAGCAACTCTACATGGAAATCAATAGAAGGGCAGCAAAAATAGGGAGATATTCTTGCAAAGACATTTTGTAAGAGAAGAGCTTAAGCTTGTAAGCAGAAAGAAGAGAAGATACATTTTTCTGACAGTAGAATATATTCTTGGGTATGAGCCAGAACTCATACTGAACGCTTGCTTTGCAGTGTGTTCAATTTGTGGCATCTGCTGGTAATTGGAAAAGATCACAGCAATGAAAAACCTCTGCCTGAATATTTTGGAAAATGTGTCCAAGTGCCATCAAAACAATACTCTTTGAATAGGCTGTGATATAAGGTATCATTGTACAGTAAATCCTTTTTTTTTTTTTGCATTAAGCAAATTGTTACCCGACCCAGGGGAGCCATGAGAAAACTATTTCTATGAAAAAAAAATTAAGCGTGGATATAACTATTTTGGCCTTTTCTTAATTTGATGTCTAGCATTCAAAAGACAGTGCTCTTCAAATGCAAAAAGGGGATTTTGTGTTTTTCTTTTTAAAGGAGTTTCCATCAGTGTGACTTGTGGGTTTCTTGTTATTCCAGGACACAGATCTGGTTCTTTAGTCTTCATTGCTTAAACTGATGGAAAAGGTTTTTGCAATAGGATGCAGTAATATGTTCGTATTTGATTTGACACCTCTCACCTTTGCAACATTTCCTCCCTAACACTTTTGCAACATTTCCTTTCCTGCCTACTTTTAAACCATTCAGTCAAAGATAATGCGCTTAACTTTTTTCATGCTCTTCATTTTTCAGTTGTTTACCAGTCACAGAACGATTTAATATATATTTATTTAAGAGCATTGTGAAGGTTTTGCTAACATATTTTTATAGAGAAAGCGTTTTATAGTCATTGGGAGTGGGCACATATATTTTAATAATTATAAATAGTAATCCTAGGTTCTTGGGAAGAACTCAATGTGTATGAAGGCCAACCCCAGCTAAAGAACCAGTAGCTGTGACTTCACATTTTTGTGTAAATAATAATAATAATAATAATATTAATAATAATAATAATAATAATAATAATAATAATAATATTAATAATAATAATAATAATAATAATAATAATAATAATAATAATATTGTTATTGCATTGGAAGATCTGCCAGAAATACCATTTTCCTGCAAGGAAGAACTTGGTGGTCCCATAAAATACAGAAAGTAATAGAAAATGAAGAGACTTTAGACTTCAAACAGACAGGCACCTGCCACATAACATCCCAGACTTAATAATTGTTGATAAGAAAGACAAAAAAAGTCTGGATAGTGTACATGGCAGTACCCAGACAAAGCAGAATAGTAGAGAAGGAACTGGAGAAGATAACAAAATACAAAGATCTACAAATAGAAATAGAAAAACAGTGGCAAAGGCAAACAAGGGTAATACCAATAGTCATAGACACCTTGGGTGCAATCCCAAAATAACTTGAGCAACACTTGAACACTATCAGCATTGACAAATTCATCATCAGTCAGTTGCAAAAGGCAGCTTTACTTGGAACAGTTTACATCCTGCAACAATACTTTTAAACATCTGTCTCTCCCAGATCCTTGGGAAGGACTTGATAGGTGGACCAAAATGTCAAATCCAGTCTGAACATCTGGCTGACTATGTGACGAACCAAAATAAATAATGACAACATCCAGCATAGTGAAGTCAAGAAGATTAGTAGTAAATACATCAGAAAAGTGAAGATCTTAAAGTAAAAACTCAGTGGAGGAAAAACAAGGCAATTAACACCTGGGCTACTCCAGTCATTGGATATACTGCTGGAATAGTGAACAGAAAAATAATGATAATGAATCATGCTAGATTATACTAACCAAGGAAAATTGGTGGGTGTGGAATGTTGCTAGATAGTTAAAGAAGAAAAAAGGACATTGGAAGGATATCTGAAGGACGTGAAGATACACTGAAACTAGTATCCCATGAAGGCTTATGGAATACCAAAAAGACCAAACTGGTCTACAAGAAAGACCAAATGAAGAATAGAAAGGAGACTTAGCAAAGCAAAGTCTTACATGGCCAATGGATTAAAAATACAGCAGGCAAAGCAAAGAGACCTGGCAATGTTTAAAAGCAGGGAAATTGAAAAAACAAACAGAGAGACTAATTCTGGCTGCACAAGACCAAGCCGTAAGAACAAACACATACAATGCCAGAACTGGAAAGACAGCTATAAGACAGCAAATGCCATCTCTGCAAAGAAGCTGAAGAAAAAGTGAACATCCTAGTTAGGTCCTGCAAGAAGATCACACAGAGTGACTACAAACAACGGCATGACAAAGTAGCAACAGTGGTGCATTGGAAAATCTGCAAGAAATACCACTTGCCTACAAGCAAGAACTGGTAGGACCACAAAATAAAAAGTAATAGAAAATGAAGCAGCTAAAGTGCTCTGGGACTTTAGAATTCAAACAGACAATCACATGCCACACAACACTCCAAGCTTAACAATTGTTGGTAAGAAATACAAAAACATTGCTATATCTGGAGCAGTGGCATAGAGGAGAAAGAACTGGGGGGAAAATCACAAAATATAAAGAAGGATTGCAAATAGAATGGCTGTAGCAAAAGAAACCAAAGACAGGACCAATAGTAACAGGTGCCTTGAGTGCAGTTCCAAAACATCCACTTGAACACCATCAGAATTGACAAAATCACAATCAGTCAATTGCAAAGTGCAGCTTTACTTGGAACAGTTTACATCCTGCAACAATACCTTTAAAATTATTAAATGACAACATCTCCTGTCTCAGGACCTTGGGAAGGACTCGATAAATGGACAAAAAGGCCAAATCCATTCTAAACATCTGGCTGGCTATGTGACTCATCATTATCATAATCATAATTATATAATGATAATATAATCATCATTATATGCCTACCTTTAACTTACCATGGCTATTAATCATCAGTTTTATCCAGCCAGTTCCATTTTCTCCATTCACCTTGTTGTAAGAAAAGCGATACATTCCAAAGTCAGAAGCTGTGACATGCCAAAGTACAATCGAACTTTCAGAGATACAGTCTACACGGTTTTGATAATCTGAACCATAGACTGGCATTTCAGAATCCACACACTGGATTATAAAATCTATACAGTCAGGTTGCACTCTTTCCCATGTCACTTGAATCGCTGCTACATCAGAGTTAGACCGATATTCAAAAGTGACGTTTTCTCCTGGTTTAGTAATCAAATGATGAATTGACAAGTTTGAAAATTCAAAAGCCCCTGTTTTGAAAAAAAAATGATAAAAGTAAGAGAGATAGGGATAATGTCATGCATAATGTATTTATGTTCAAAAATGTTACATGCCTTGTTTGCTTTAGAAGCACTCAAAACATCTGACAAGTTAATTAAAAAACAGCAATATAAAGCAGTAAAATAAATACAAATAACGTTTAAAATCACCATTTACAATAGTCTACATATTTATAACATCTATTGATCAGAAAGGTAAGAACCAATTAAATTTCTTGAGTAATGCCAGGACATATCATAGAAAAAAAAATCTTTTACCTTATACTTGAATTAAAATAATTGGAAGTAAATATATCTTGGATGGAAAGTTCTTCCCCCAAATAGGA